AATTGATGAGGTGTCAATATCAAGAGAGGGAAATCTGAAATGGTTGTGGGTGAGGACAAGTCACAAAGCTCAGTCACCAGGTGTGCCATGGCTACATCAGAGATACTGTTCCTGACAGCTTGTAGTCCATCCTTGTGTGGAATATTGGTGTAAAGAGCTTCTACATCCATGGTGACCAGGCTGGTGTTTTCAGGAAGATCACCAATGCATTGTAGTTTCCTCAGGAAGTCAGTGGTGTCTCGAAGATCACTAGGAGTACTGGTAGCGTAGGGTCTGAGGAGAGAGTCCAAACAGCCAGACAATCCTGCTGTAAGAGTGCTAATGCCTGAGATGATGGGGTATCCAGGGTTTCCAAGTTTATGGATCTTGGGTAGCAGATAGAATACCCCTGCTCGGGGCTCTAGGGGTGTGTCTGTGTAGATTTATTCCTGAGCTTTGTGACTTTATCCTCACGCACAACCATTTCAGATTTGGGGACAACCTATACCTTCAAGTCAGTGGCAATGCTATGGGTACCCGCATGACCCCACAGTATGCCAACATTTTTATGGCTGATTTAGAACAACGTTTCCTCAGCTCTCATCCCCTAGCGCCCCCCTAGGCTGTCTCACTACAAAAGCAATATTCACTCTCTTGGTATTGACACCTCCTTATCAATAATTGGGAGTGGACTTACATCCACTGTACTGGGCTAGCTTGATTATCACTTACAAAAAATTTTTTTTTCTCTTACTTAATTGGCCTCTCAGAGTTGGTAAGACAACTCCCACCTGTTCATGCTCCCTGTATGTGTGTATATATATATCTCCTCAATATATGTTCCACTCTATATGCATCCGAAGAAGTGGGCAGTAACCCACGAAAGCTTATGCTCTAATAAATTTGTTAGTCTTTAAGGTGCCACAAATACTCCTGTTCTTTTTCCTGAATAAATTGACCTTCAGCATATGCTAGTCTTTAAAGTGCCACTAGACTCCTTGTTATTTCATATATAATGCCATTCCTTTTACTTTGTGGGGTTTTTTTTTTTTTTTGCTTTCTTTACTTTAATTTTCAGGCCATATTCCCCTTTCAATGGTAGGGGAGGGAAGAGAAAATACAAAATGAGATTTATTTAAAATGGTTAGAGTTGTTCTCAGTTTATTAAAATATTGTATTAATAGGAATAGACAGTGTCAAAAAATAAAGAGAATAAAAGCATCAATATTTACCACACATAGATGCAACAAACTTATACACCTGATAAATTACAAAATTTCATACAAACAGTAGAGACAAAAAAGACAATAAAAACAACCCAGGAAAGCCATTCAATAAGAATAAAACCCACGAAAGCAGAAAAAAAGCATAAATATAAACAACTATATTTAACTAACCCAAGAGTATAAAACGACTTACATAAAACAAGCATAAAAATCAACCACAAAAACAAACAAAAGTCTTTTTCAATCTATTGTTAAACACTTAAGTTCAGTCTCCGTAGAGACTGTCAAAAATTGCCAATGCCGACTATATTTCAAGTCGTCATGGCGGGGTATTGGGAAAAGTTTTCAATTAGCAATAATCGCGCCTCGGATTAACCTCATTGGCTACGATACTGCCACTGCGCAAAGCTAACGATAACTCCGTCGGCGCCGCATCCCCTCGACGGGCCATAATCTGTCCGGTTAGGGGGACGGCCAGGATAAGGTGGCGGCGAGCCGGGTACGAGCCGCCCTGAGGAACACTGCCTCAAGCACCCAGCAGTGCCAGCCAAATCCAACAGGGTTGAGGGGTTCAGCGCCTTCATGCCACTCAAAACCACCAGACCGCCGCAGAGATCTCTGGGAGTCTTTATGCAAATTAGACATTTGCGTCACCAAGCTGGAGCCGGCCTGAGGCGGATTCAGCCGCTGTACTCTCGCTTCAGAGGAGGGGGAAGGCGGGAAACGAGTGAGGGAGGCACCGGAGAATGGGGCGGGGAAAATGGCGGCGGCCGGGAAACGAGAGCCGCCGCTTCCTGGCTTGTCAGCCCGCGGGACAGCGGAGCGGGGGCCAGGGCGGCGCGCCTGTGCGAGCCTCGCTTCCGTCCGAGAGCGGGAGACAAGCCGCTGCGGGGCGTCCCTCGATCCGTTACCCGGGGCGGGGGACGAGCCGCTGAGAGCCCCCGGACCCCCATTCGTTACCCGGGCGGGGGACAAGCCGCTGAGACCCCCCGGACCCCCATTCGTTACCCGGGGCGGGGGACAGGCGGCTGAGGGCCCCCGGACCCCCATTCGTTACCCGGGGCGGGGGACAGGCGGCTGAGGGCCCCCCTATCCCTTCCCCGAGGCCCTTCTGGGCGGGGAGCATCACAAGCTGTTGCTGTAACACACGAATCCCCGCGGCGCGGCGGAACACCCGAGTACTCGGAGTAAAACCCTCCGCTCCGCGGCGAGTGTGTTCATACCGGGCTCACCGGCCCGAAGACCTTCCTACCCGGCGCTCCCCGCCCGCCACACTGCCCTGTGGTCCTGCCCTGGGAAGCCATCCCGTAACCCCGCTCGCTACAGGGCTCCTTGTGAGCCCGGCGTACCTGCGAAAGGGACTAAAAAGAGACCTTTATTGGCTAAACAAACAACACAATCCCTCCCCGCATGTCTACTCACTGGTACCAGCTCATGATTTACCCCAGTGGGAACAGTAGAAAAAGATCAAAACACACAGCTTGTCGGTGAAAATAACATCACCTACCATTAGCGACACGCAAAACCCAAATACACTTAAAAGCGTACTATCCAAACAATAATTAAACTCTGATCTTATAACAACCATATCAGTCTCACATGAGACTGTCAAAAATTGCCAATGCCGACTATATTTCAAGTCGTCATGGCGGGGTATTGGGAAAAGTTTTCAACTAGCAATAATCGCGCCTCGGATTAACCTCATTGGCTACGATACTGCCACTGCGCAAAGCTAAAGAAAAGTTTAGCAATCTTACAAGCCACTAAAATCTGATCACTCTTCAAGTTAAAGGGAGTTTTCATTAGCCCTCAATATGCCCTGGAAACTTTCCTTCACCAAGTGAATGTAAACCTACCTCTGTTATAATTAAGCAATAAGATATTATTTACACAGCCTTTGACTGTCACTAATTTTATTACCAAATTAAAGACAAGAAGAGATACTGAAGCATTGTGGGACATTTTATGCTAATTAGCTAATTGTATTGACCCTGTAAAATGCCAAGGTGGAACAAAAGCTGAGACTTAGAAAAAGACCACAATGTAAATTATCAAATTAACATCACACTGGAATGTTTCATACAGCTTTCATTAGAAAGAGCAGGTTTGGGGTGTGGTCTGGGGCTCAGGGCTGGGGCAGGGGGGCAGGACTTTTGCCTGGAGGTGCAGACTTGGGGGTGTGGCTGGAGATGAGGGATTTGGGGTTCAGGAAGGGGTTCTGGGGGGCTCAGAGTTGGGGCAGGGTGTTGGGGTGCAGGAGGGGGTCAGAAGCAGAGATCCAGAGGGGAACACTGAGCACAGAATCCTTGACAAAGTCCACTGCTCCTCAAAGCTGTCTAGGGAGCCAGCGGATGCCGCCCAGAGGAACTCTGCCCGGATGCATGAAACAAGGAAGGAACGGAAATAGGCCTCACAGTCACAGATCACCCCCTCGTCCAGCATTGTCCTCCTGGTGTTGTAGATGGCCACTTTGTCCAGTGCCAGGAAGAGGTTGATGAGGAGGTCTCGCGACTTTGTGGCGACATGGAAATGGTGTGCGAATATGAAAAGGTGTGGGGAAAAGTGCAGCCATAACTTCAACAGGAGGTTCCAGAGGAGACAGAATAGGGGCTGCAACCTGGCACATTCTAGACAGGCGTGCGCCAGCTTCTCCCTCATGCCGCAAAAGGGGCAGGGGTTGGGGATGGGAGTGAATCGTGCTAGGTACAGGCCCGTGCTCACCGCTCCGTGAAGGAGCCACCAACCCATATCCCTGGGAGGGCGTGGGACCAGGGTGAAATAGAGACTGGCACACGGGGGTTCCTCACCCTCTATAGGTGGTAGAAACTCCCATCACTTGGTATTGGAGCAGGACACGAGGGTGAGGAAGTGAAACGTGTGGAGCACAAGCACGTAAAGTTGTTCCTTGGTGGACTTGGAAACAAACTGCAGGGTGCAAAGCTGGCTCAGATTATGGAGGGGAGGGAACCAGGGAGGCTCACGGGACAGGGGCTAGATGAAAAGATCCGGAGGGCTTGGGGTGAGGGGTGGGTGGGGAGCACCTCTCGCAGGACCTGCTCAAGGAAAACCCAAGAGGTGGGCGGTAAGGCTGCCCCCACCACCTGGAGTATGTGCAGGGGGGGTCTGAAGGGTGGAGAGCCCCATGTGCCGACCGAGTGCTCAGGGACATTACTACGGAGTTGTAGCTCTGCTCCATTGCTATGAAACACTAAACCCCGTGACAGAAGACCTGAGGACCCAGAGAAATATCCTCCACTCCACAGCGAGTATCTGTTAATACTAAGGGTCACCCAGCCTGGAGACATTCATACCCAGAGTTCACCGCCCCCACCACAATGCCCTGTGGGTAGTGCACTGGGAAGCTATACCTTAACCTCACTCACTACAGGGCTCCTTACGAGAGGGGCCAAAGCCTGAATTATCAAGAGACATTTACTGGTTAAATAAACAGAACATTCCCAACACGCAGTTATTCAGCAGTACTCACTAGTAACAAGCAAAGACTTCCCCCAATAGGAATGGTAGGGGGAAAAAAGAAAAAAACATCTGTTATATAAAACAAACAGTAATATCATCCACAGCTAGGTCCACTCAAAACTGATATACACTTAGCAGGCTATGAATATTTTTTTTCACTTCAAGGTCCCAGAAGCAAAGACAAGGTTTTCATCTCGAGGGCAAAAGACCAAAGACATCAAGACACTTGATCACGGCCTTGGATAGACCAAGAGACTACCTTTATTCATCAATAATTAATACCTAAATTAAACTCTGATTTTATAACAACCATATCAGTCTCACAGGAGACTATAAAAAATTGCCAACACCAACTATATTTCAAATCAACACAGCAGAATACTAGGAAAAGTTTTCAACTAACAATAATCACACCTCAGATTAACCTCATTAGCTATGATACTGCCAACACAAGGCTAAAGAAAATGCCCCAATCTTACATGCTACTAAAATCTGATCACTCTTGCAAGTTAAAGGGAGTTTTCATAGAACTCAAAATGCCCTGAAAACTTTCCTCCATCAGGTCAATGTAAACCTACCTCTGTTATAATTAAGCAATAAGATATTTACACAGACTTTGACTTTTCCTAATTTTATTACCAATTTAAAGACAAGAAGAGATACTGAAACATTCTGGGATATCTTATGTTAATTAGCTAATTGTATTGACCCTATAAAATACCAAGGCAAGGAAAAAAGCTGAGACTACTAGAAAAAGACCCCAATGTAAATTATCGTATTAACGTCATACTGGATCATTTACAATTTGACCTATCTCATACAACTTTCGTTCTTTCATTAGGAAGAGCACTAGAAAAGGAAAACAAGCTCCTCAGGAACACAGACTAAACCACCACAGCTTTAAGACAAGACCAATGTTTATTCCTGCTCCAATATATCAGAAATACCCCATAGAAACCCAGTAAGAAATTCAGAAAGCCCAGAGGAAAAGAAAGAAAAGAAAGAAAGAACCTAGCCTCCCAGAAAACCTTCTTCACCTTATCTGTTTTTCACTCAGGCAAAAAGTCAGCTGCCACAGAGACTACCAAAAATTGCCAACAACAGCTATATTTCAAGCTATCAAGGCAGGGCTTTCGGAAAAGTTATGCCTCAGTTGAACCTCACAGACTATAATACTGTGTGACGTTCCCCCCTGGTGTTGTCTGGACCAGTGATCTGCTAGGCCATGCCAATCCTTGACTCTGTGAGCCAACCTTACCCTGCTTTGCGTTAGAACCTCTACTCCTGGGCTGTTCACGCACAGCCTCTGAAATGTAAGCTGCTTTCAGCTACTTGCAAGCGAATGACACTAGCCAATATCTCCAGTCCTAGAAACAACTCTAGGAACCTCCGTCTTGCAGTGTCCAGTTATGCCCACTGGACGCTGCAAGCTTATATAAGTTTGTCAATTTAACAAATAAATTGATATGTACCAGGCTTGTTTTCCCAAGCGGAGTCTCTGACACACTGCAAACCAAATGGACTGCTTCAGGTAGAATCAGGCTCTCCCCTTTGATCAGTGATTCAGTCGCTTGGTGACGGTGGTATCTGTAGATGTAGGTGGGAGAGAGAGCATGGCAAAATGTCTCTCCCTTTTATCATGTCCTTTCTTCCCTACTGGCTTTGCCCCCCCTTCAGAGTTAGGTGAGTATTACCTCATTGCAGTCCCAAACTGCCTAAAGGAAGGGGGTGATTCCCTCAAGGGTTTATGTTCCTGTGGGGTTGGGCTGGGCTTGTCCCATCAATGCCCTGACGAGGTGTGAACTGCCTCTCTGTTCTTGGAGAGTTTTTGCATGGGTTTGCTTTAAGCCTTGAGGATACATTTTCAGCCTCATAACTATGTACATGAAATTATAACCTATACCCTTACTATAACATTACTGTAACAATTACTATAACATCACTGTAACAACCATGCTCAGTGCATCATGAGCCTTCCAAAGACACCCAACATGACAAATTTTGCATTGGATACCACAAAATCATTTTATAAAGATGAACATGGGGGTGTAGGGTGTCCCCTCCAAGGTACAGAGCATCACATACTGCCACTGTCTCTTCTACCACACAGCACTTTTGCTCAACCCTGGTTTGACATGCTAAACCTCGTGGGAGCGCCCTGTAAACCCCATATTCATCTTTAATGTATCATTGTGGTATTTCATATAAAGCATGCCATGTAAGGTATCGTGAGAAAGGCTATGATCTGCTGAAAGCCACTGTTGTATCTAAATATATATATCATTAGTGCACATGAAGTTATGAGGCTGTATTGTATGGTTGTCACTAAAATATGTTGTGAGTTAGGGAATCGCCCAGATATTAGATCCCCAGAGACCAGGAAAGGGAAGTAACCAACGCCCGGGCGGGCGTTGAACAATCATCAACAGCCATTGTCCAGCAAGGGAGTTACAATGCAAGGACTCACTTGCACAAGGCTAACCCTGGGGAATTGCTCAACCTTGCTGGTGATTCAGCAATCTCCAACAAACATGCCTGGACTTGTGTTCTCCAAGCACATGGACTGAGGATATAAAATAGGGGACAGAGGCCACATGGGTTGTCCTGTCTCTTCTCCCACCTACCCTGAAGGCAATGAGAACGCTAGAGCTGAGGAGACTGGTCCCCAGGCTAACAGGGAGAGCCTGCATATGAAAGACTGTACCCAACCTGCAATATCCAGGGGGATGAGAAAAAAATGCTTAGTCCAGATATTGCCTAGTCTAATAAGATTGAGAATTTAGACTGTGTGCTTATCTTCACTGCCCCTGCCATAATGCCCTGGGAAGCCATACCTTAAGCCCTCTCAATATAGGGCTCTTTAGGAGCCTGGTGTACCAGTGAAAGGGGCCAAAAGCTGAATTATCAAGAGTCATTTACTGGTTAAATAAACAGAACATTCCCTACATGCAGTTATTCAGCTGCACTCACTAGTATCAGGTAATGATTTATTCAATAGGAACAGTAGAAAAAAATAAGAGAAGAAAACCTACCAGTTAAAACACTGAACAATAGCATCACTCACAGATAGGTATGCTCAAAATTCACATACACTTAAAAGGCTATTAATAGATTAATCAATAATGAACACCCACCATTAAAATCTGATTTTACAACAACCATATCAGTCTCACAGGAGACTATCAAAAATTGCCAATGCCAACTATATTTCAAGTTGTCATGGCGGGGTATTGGGAAAAGTTTTCAACTAGCAATAATCACACCTCAGATTAACCTCATTGGCTATGATACTGCCACTGCGCAAAGCTAAAGAAAACTTGCCAATCTTACATGCCACTAAAATCTGATCACTCTTGCAAGTTAAAGGGAGTTTTCACTAGCACTCAAAATGCCCTGAAAACTTTCTCCATCAGATCATTGTAAACCTACCTCTGTTATAATTAAGCAATAATATATTTACACAGACTTTGCCTTCCCCTAATTTTATTACCAATGTAAAGACAAGAAGAGATACTGAAGCATTCTGGGATATTTTATGCTAATTAGCTAATTGTATTGACCCTATAAAATGCCGAGGTGAGGGAAAAAAATAGATTACTGTATTAGAAAAAGACTCCAAAATAAATTTATCGTATTAACATCATACTGGATCATTTACAGTTTGATCTATCTCATACAATTTTTCACTCTTTCATTAGAAAATATTGTTCTCATTCAGGTTATAGCCTATTTGTTATTGGGAGAAATTTTAATTTAGACTCCAAGGAAGTCTGGGAGATATCACTCTTAAATGAAAAATACTTGAAAGTTGCTTCATTAACTGGTTAAAACACACACATATCTCGGTTCAGATTCTCAATCGATTAACCAAAAAAAACCACCTCAAGCACCTCTATTTTCAGTACCTATGACAACAAGGGTTACATTCTCCTTTCCAGGAAAAATTAAAATAATGGGAAGCTACGGCCTCCCTTTTAAAACAAATACAAATGATTTCCACTCCCTCGCTCACAAAATATATCATTAACTCCCATCTCCTCCACTCCCACTTCTCAAACCAGGAAACTTAGGCCTGGTCTACACTGGGGGGGCAGGGCGAGCGAAGTTGGTCTAAGTTACACAACTTCAGCTATGAATATAGCGTAGCTGAAGTGGACGTACTTAGAGCTACTTATCGCAGTGTCTTCACTGAAGTAGGTTGACTGCTGCCGCTCCCCCATCGACTCCGCCTACGCTTCTCGCTCCAGTGGAGTAATGAAGTCCACGGGAGAGCACTTGGCAGTCGATTTATTGCGTCTTCACTAGACAAGATAAATCAACCCCCACTGGATCGACCACTCTGGAGGTAAGTGTAGATATGCCCATAGAGTTAACACCCACTCCCACCTTCATAGAAATAGTGAGATGAGAACAAGGAAAATTGCGCTGAATATCAACTCGTTCCAATCCCCCCATTGCAGCCTATTCACGGAAACGAATATGTACCAAGGTATCAAATCTCTTTAAGAACCAAGAGTTGGGAAGACATTAACAGACATCTATTAGGGTATCATTAACCCAGGATTGACTCAGCTAGCAAACAAATTATTAAAACATCACTGGAGAAACTACAAGGTGAGTCATGTGAAGCCCTATTAAATATTTAATAAACCACCAATCAGAACAGAAAAAAGCTTAGTTACCCAGACTAACACCTTCACATATTAATAAACATTCTAATGCAAATCTTCCGACACTTTCTTACAATTCCATCTTCAGAGTCATGCACTTTAAAAGAAAATACATTGCTTCAGTTCTAGAACTACCACTAAACTGCACCCACTCTCTAAAAAAGACCTTCCAAAATTACTAGTACAAACTCTATTTCAAATCAATACAGGAAAGGTTTCCAAATAACAATAATCACATCTTCCCCTAACCTCTCAGGCTATAGCACCACTACACAAAAATAACCTTTTAAGTATTTTAACTTTACCACGCTCAGAAAGTGGATAGAGTGAGTTTTTAACATAGCCAGAGAAGGAAGGAAAAACTTGCTTATATTCAGGTAGAATGATGTACTGAAACATTTATAGAGACTTTTAAATTTTCTAAACTTTATAACAAAAGATCCTGGGATCTTATGCTAATTGGCTCAAGAAACTGCAAAAAGCCATAAGAAATGCTCTCTAGACCTAGTAGCAATAACCAATTGTATCCAACAACCTCTGTAAATGTGTAACATTAAATTTGCTACAATGCAGCTGTTTGATCTTTCTCATACACTTTATTTTTTCATTGTTAATCTTCTATTGGGGAATAGCCCCATTTAGATGCAAACAATATGGATTGTTATTGTACCAACTTCAACATTAAAAAGTTGTGGAAGCAGAAGAAAACAGTAATTGCTGGCTACACATTTGTTCAGATTTGTTTCATATGCACCATCTGCAACAAGTATATCACACAACACAGACA